CAGTTAGCACCAAACCAAAATACTAGACCTACAGGCTCACTTTCCAGTGATACAGAGAAGAACTCTCAAGTTAATGCAGTTACACTATTGCCTTACTCGGTTGCAATACAGGAATTGTAAATGCGTTCTTGTTAAACTTAATTCCATAGACATATAGGTATTAAGTTAACTTGAATAGGTTTGTAAGAACTCGACAGATTCTTACTAGTGAAATTAACCCTGTGAATCAACAATTCAGATAAATCATTTAGTTATTTTAAACCAAGAATGCAACATGAATGTTAGATGACCCGTGACCCTGGAATATTATATCCTATTGATTGTTATTCAAAACTATTTAAGTGTTGTGTTTATTTCTTAGCAATTCATTATTTGATAGTCTTTAGGTAGTAATTTAGAAAATTATATATTTTGTTAGAAATATCTTGAATCAATAAGCTATTCGAGTTTGAATTAGTCAAAAGTTAATCATAAGTCTTCGTGGGAACGATACTTTATTCACTACTTTATTACTTGACGACCACGTATACTTGCGTGAATGTGTTTGGACCCGACACAGCTACAAAATCACCATTATTGTCTCTGATCACTCCCCCAGAGCCTGCCTTATATAACACTTTTACTTCTCATAGAAAATTGATGAGTTGAAACCTGCGGATAGAACAAAATAAATTGTTTGCACGAGCAACAATACGTGTTCTTCTCCATTGCAAATTGAAAGTCACTTTAGCTGGAAATTGAGGTATTTGTGCAGCCATCCTTTTGTGGTTTATCGAGGAGCTGCAGATGGAAATACATGCTTCAAATAAAAATGATACTTAAGTATTAGTAAAAATAAATACTGTAGCACATCATGCCCCACATTATAATGGGAAATAATATTAGTAAAATTTAATAAACATATTGTTGGGTTTGAGTTAATGTGTGGAAATAGCCCAACAGTTTAAAGAGGTGAAGTCTCGGGATCCGCTCTGGTCGAGTTGTTAGATGTCTCTCTCCTACATTCTATCTTTGAAATCTGACTTTACCTGGACCGCTTCTCGACCGAGATCCCCTTTCTCAAACTTTTCTATAATATAAGGTAAGCTTTTTGGAACCCCCGTAATGTAAGTAACTCAGTGCTCCATATGGGGATCAACAAATAATAAACATTTCACAAGAAAAGAAAAGAAATTCTTTTTGTTTAAAAGACTGATGTGGCATTCCCGACTTGAAAAGGGTTGGTAGACTTCAAGCTGGGTCAGCTAGACTTAAGTAAGTAGGCATCGAAGGAGGATTGTTGTGGAGTCATTCCCGTTTGAATGAAAAAGGTACTAAGTAGCTCGGTGTCGGCTATGCTTGTTGGCGGAGGATGAAAAGGGTTTCCTGCAATGATAGCTGAACTAATCAGATGGGCTGCCCCAAACCTTACGCTTAGATTTAAATAGAACTCTGTTTTACTAAGGAGCTTTGTTCCCCATCGGAAAATAGAAAGAAAATCCTTGTGCTTATATAGAGAAACACTTCTTGTAGCTATTAAAGAGTTGATAATAGATCAAACCTTGTGAAGTCGTTTGTTGAAGTTCTGTAATTTTTATTGTCTCCATTGCCAATAGAGGAGGAATTAATCCAACAACCTTAGCTTGGACAACAATAAAGAGATTAAATTCCTTAAAAAAATTGTAATTTTTCTCGTTTCCTAATAAACAGATTTTAACACATGCTGTTAATATGGACTCAAGTAAAAAAGATATAATTAAGCTGCTTGCCGCCAGGAATATATTTGAGTCAGCAAGGTCAACGCAGACAGGTTTGGATTAAACAAGTTCGATGCGTTTGAATAAATCAATAGAAAATGGCGTCTACTTTAATTTGTACTTCTTGCAATAAAAAGAAAAAAGAATTGCTTATTGCATCTGGCTTGGTTGCAATATAATAACCAGTAATTACCAGCATAAAAGCTTGATAATATTTTTGTAGCGTGCAGATAACGCTTGTGTCTCCCGATTTGACAAGAAAATAGTTTTTTTGTTATATAATAAAAGGAGTAGCATGCAGTTGACGCAAGCTGGAATACGAGTATATGCTAAAATTATAACAAATTTAATAAATAACTTAGATAAAATGGAAATCAGATTGGTTTTCAACTCTCACCTAATTGGTACTTAAAACTTAGAAACTTGTATATTTATATTTCTTGTTCGGTGTTCTTTTCCTTCCAATTGGTACCAGGTTTAGAGAAGTGTACGTTCCTTCTTTTAGTCTTAGCATGCGGCTATACCTTTGGGTTTTATGTAAATATACGTATGTTATACACATTATTTATTTGATTACTGGTATACATTTGTTTCAAGAAGGGGCTGAAGAGGAGAAAAATTGAACAGGAAATATGTCACAAAACACTTTCATCTTTTAAAACAATTTTCTCTTGGTACATTCTAAAGACAATGAAGTATTTCAATTTCTTCGTTTCTTTACTTCTCTAGTTAATTCTTTTGCTCTCCAGCTTCTTCGTTCCAACCGAAGTGTAAATAAAATATCACATGGAAAATTTTAAAAAATGTGAAGGGGAAAATTTTCGTGGCCAGTAGAATCTTTAGACAAAGTTGAAATAATCCTTAGAGACATGGCGACGTCATAAAATTCAATAAGGGTGTTCAAATTTTGAATATTCTGTTCCGGTGGGCTATGTAAGAGTGTTCAAAGTCCATTTTATTTACCTATAAGAAATAGTAATATATTAACTTATACACATTATAATTATTGGCGAAGGATGTTACCACCCTTGCCCATACATAGCTTCGCCCGGCGCTAGCGCCTGTTCTATCAAAGTAATTGATCTCGTCATACAAATCAGGAAGTAAAACCCTTAAACATTTCATTTTCATTTCATTCCCTGAGTTGGATACCTCCTTCAAAAAATATTTTTGATACGATCCGCAGGAATTGAATCCTAGCTAGGTAGAATATGAAAGCTCTTCTATAAAAATATACATTAATTTGAGACTCGAGATTGGAGGATAGCTCACATGGTCTGAGCCCCTTATCCTTCACCATGTGGTGACGCGAAAAAATCGTTTGAGACCTTGGAGAGAGCATTGAATAAGGGTTCCGGGGAACCCAATAACTCTTGCGTATGCCCTGTATTTATATTAAGAAATTTACTAAATATTTATAAATATCTAACGGTGAACCTAATTATTATTGCATTTTAATTTGAAATTACAGCAGGAACCCATGAGTCTCAAATTCTGGATAGCCAATGTCGGACATAATGCTGTTGGCTGTTGGAAGGAGAACTAGTCGAAGCATGTAAAGATCATTGAAAGAGGAGACTTATATACGGAACATCTAATTGTATTTGGTTTTGTGGACAAAAACCTTAAAACCACCAGCCATATGAGCTGTTAGGAGTGGCAGAAAAACAGGAGGATCTGAACAAGCTGGTCTGATCTGGAAACGCTTCAATATTGAAGCTACAACATACTTCATTTGAATAAATGCCAATTCTTTCCCAAGGCAAACTCTTGGACCTGCTTGAAAAACAGGAAACTTGTACAAATTTGATACCTGCTCTGTTCCTTCTTCCTCTGATTCTTGCATCCATCTCCTTGGTTTAAACTCGAATCGATCCTTTCCCCACAAGTTTTCCATCCTCCCCATTCCATAAGGGAAGTATGTCACTCTATTCCCAGCTTTAATACGAGTACCATCTGGCAAAATATCATCAGAAATGGCGTGCTTCGAATCCCATGCAACTGGTGGATAAAGTCTCATTGTTTCACAGAGACAAGATTTCAAGAAATTCATTTCTTTCAATATCTCATACTTGGTTAGTGTTTCAGCTTCTATAAACCTCAGCTCTTTGGAAACCAATTCATATTCTATCTCAGGATGGAGAGAAAGTAGATAAAAGAACCAAGTCATTGCCGCTGATGTTGTGTCTCTTCCTGCCATAATGAAGCTTATCACCATATCTCTGACTTCCTCCTCATCAAAATTTGCTGCCAATATCATCTTTGAAAGAAGATCTTTATTGGTCTCTTTCTGGTTTTCTTCTCTGATCTTAATCTTTCTCTCGCGGATGATATCATCGATTGATGAATGGATTTGATCAACGGCTAGTTTCAACTGTTTTTCAGATCCAATATTTAACCATCTTTTCACCTTCCATACAACAAATATTGGTGCAGCTCCTCTCTCAGCACATATCTGCGAAGCCCTTTCAAAAGCATCTAGTAAAGGCGAAAATGAAAGAGATTCATTGAGGCAACATGGATCAAAACCCAAAGAAACTTTACAAACCACATCAAATCCAAGTCTTCTTAACAAATCTTGCAAGTCAAATGCTCTATTTTCAGCCTCCATTAATTCCAGTATAGGTAACAACTTGTTCTCCACCTCTTCTTTGAGCGCATTCACAACGTAATCTCTTAAGGACCTGGCAGTAAACTCATGACTGACCATCTTGCGCTGTTTGTACCACATTTCTCCATCCACATTGAATATACCATTTCCAAGAAAATCACCAAGAATTTCATTGAATGGCTTGCCTTTAGGAAAATTGTCAAAGTTGGTTTTGAGCATGTATTCTACATTGTATGGATTAGCTGTTACTATAGTTCTCCGCGCTCCTAATCTATCTATCACAATTGTTTGAGTTGGGGACTTAGAGATAAGATGAGTGTACCAATCTAGTAGTCGATATCGGTTCTTGTAAAAAGGAATCAAACAACCTATGATGGGGTAAGTTGGGGGTCCGGCAACGCCTTTAGGACGTTGCTGGAATTGTTCAACAATGGCATATGATAGATACAGAATTACAGTTAGACAAAGGAATGGAAGAATGAAAGGGTATATGGTGAAGAGGGAGAAGAAGGTAACCATGTCTTTTAAATTTTTTAAACAATGAAAACTGTCAACGTATATGTACATATATAGGTAATAAACTAGATGGTTCATATATTAAAATATTTATATACGCACATGTATAAATAATACAATAGCAGTGATTGATCTGTCTTTTGGATATTAAAAACTCAGAGTAGGTGGTTCTAAGTCTTCGCTTGGATGCTTTTCTTCGAAGCATTATATTGTTATTGGTACCTATGGATGCATTTGTCCATTTTGATGGCGGTTTTCATGCAGTAAACTATAAATATTATTATCTTTTCAGTTTCCCTACCGAAATAAGAAAGATATATTGAGGGTGGGAATTTCCAATATGTACCTTTTGAGTGCATATAACGTCGATGGGGGCTATGTTATTCAACTTTTAAAAGTCAGACGCTCAAGACACTCGTGATAGCTACGTTGCATGTTGTAAAGCACATATATTTTATCTCCAAATTGTTATACCTTGTTTGTTGAGGGAGCAAAGGGGGGAAAAGGAAGGAGAATGGAAGCAAAAGAAAAGGTCGAGGGAGCTAGTAATTAAATAGACTTATATTCTTTGTTTGGATTGTAAACAAAATGAAAGGGATCCCCCTAAGACTTCAACTAGCATCAAGACGGGGGATTTGCATCTATACCCAGTTTTTGGGTCACATTTTAACCTATACCCGCTTTGCAAAAAGAATTGCAAGCGTACCCACTTTTCGAGTAACTTCAGGCATACGGGCCTGAAGTAACAAAAATTTATGTCTGAAGTTTGAACTTCAGAATGTTTTGCGTGAAGTGTAGCCTTATCAAAGCAAAATTTCAGATATTTTTGCCTGAATTTTGGCCTGACTTACAAAGGCAATCGCGCAAACTTCAGTTCATAGTACAATGGAAAACTTCAACTCAATAATTGCTGAACTTCAGCAATTTTGGCTGAAGTTTTTGTTTTGTAATTGCTGAACTTCAGCATTCTAGGAGCTGGAGTTTGTTTAGTATCTGCTGAACTTCAAGATTTTAGGAGTTGAAATTTGTTTAGTATTTGCTGAACTTCAGCTCCTAGAGGATGCACTTCAGTTCAATAATTGCTGAACTTCAGCAATTTTGACTGAAATTTTTGTTTTGTAATTGCTGAACTTCAGCATTATAGGAGCTAAAGTTTGTTTAGTATCTGCTGAAGTTCAGCATTTTAGGAGCTGAAGTTTGTTTAGTATTTGCTCAACTTCAGCTCCTATAGGATGCACTTTAGTGCTTGGGTCCTTTTGGGTAATATTCCAAGCAGTCAACTTGAACTTCCCGTCGTCCATCCTCATACCAGGAAGGAAGGTATCAGTGGGTTCATCAAAACTTTGCCATATGGGCTTCCCTGACAAATCACCAATTAAACCAAGTTTCATGAATCCAAGAGCTTCGCTTTATGTGAAGAATAATAATATGAATAATAATATCATAATAATGTCACCCGAAGAAGAAGAAGAAGGAGGAGGAGGAGAAGGAGGAGAAAGAGGCCTGAAGTTGTTTAAAAAATAGGTACAAGTTAAAACTTTTTTAAAAAGTGGGTATAGGTTAAATGGGGGCGACCAAATAGGGCGCCCCGTGCAATTTTTACCATCTAGACCAAAAGAACTAATAGTCCATTTGGCCAAACTGCAAAAATAAGCTTATTTTGAGAAGTGTTTTTTCTCAAAAGTACTTTTAGTGAGAACCAGTTTGTGTTTGGCTAATTAATTTGAAAAACACTTATGAACAACAATTAGTGTTTGGCCAAACTTTAATAAACTACTTCTAAGTGTATTTATCTCAAAAGTGCTTTTCAAAAAAGTGCTTTTGGAGAGAAACTATTTTTTCCGCTTCTCCAAAACTGCTTCTGTTTTTCTTCAAAAATATTTTTTTTCCTTTCAAAAGCTCGGCCAAACACCTTAATTTTAGAAAAAAATACTTTTGACAAAAAAAAAAAAGCACTTTTGACTCAAAAGAAGCTTGGCCAAACAGGCTATAATACTATACACTATTTTTTCTAACTTACTCTTGAGAAAATGCCTTGTGGTAGAATGACCCAAATCAAATATCTGTCCTAGTATAAAGCGATATTCCGGCCCTCAAGCAGAAATCCTTCCTAAAACTCAAACATAGTGAATAACATATTAAATGTTACGTACATTTTTATTTACTAAAAAATAAGCCATGGATGTCTTTAACTCAAAATACCAGGTGCAACAACCCCACCGGATTCACATATACGTGGTTTGTTTGGTATTCTCGTTCAAAGGCAAAGCACGCGACCATCTCAAGTGGGGACGCGAAACCAGAATATAAATCTTATGACTCGAGATTTTTGTTGTTATTGAATTCTAAATTAATAATTTATATATATTTAATTTAATATTTATTTTATTATATAAATACAAAACTTTGACCAAGAATTTGAACCAAATTATTAGATTCGATCGAAACCCGTAACTCATATTCTAACTCTGCCCCAACAAAATATTTAAAAAAAAAAGCTGCTAGATGGTTCAGTGAGGCAGTTATTCAGATGACATATATAGTTGAGGCTACGAATTGACATAGTTATGACACAACCACACAGATGGCATTATTTATTATCCTCTTTTAGGCAATGTCTCTAATGTCTCTGCCCCATCCACACAGCCAAAAGTAGTATATATTGATGAAGTATAAAAGACAAATGGCATTGTTTACCCCCCTTTTAGGGAAATGTCTCTGCCCCATACACAGCCAAAAGTAGTAGTATATATTGATGAAGAAGAGTATAAAAGGCAGGCATGCAAAAGATAAGATTCACATTCAATCACGAGGCCGAGGGATAAATCCAACGGTTAGGCCTGTTTCTGGGGCCATAACTTATCCTGCTTTCTGCTCTTCAATAGAGACATGTGATGGCATGCTCATTGCTTAACGAGGGCAGTCGCCTACCCATTCAGTTAGTCTACATCTATCCTTAACAATCACTAATTATTTTTTTTATAACAGTGATTTTTGAGTTAATTTGCACGCACCTTAATTAAATTTATAAAATATATACTTTTATACGCCAAAATTTGGACTGATAAACAATAATGTCTATAATTAGTCAAATAAGTTTCTTGTCCGTCTAAGAAGATAATCAACTAAGCTTAACACGACTATATGAAATATATATTTAACTTTTTGGTTCAGGCTCATTTCATTTCAATGCTCCCTCCCTCCAGTCCATTTTAAGTGATTTTTTTATTCTTTTCACACATATTAAGGAATTTATCTTTTAGTATTAATTAATAATGGAATTGACCATATTAATCTTAATTTGCTCTTTAGAAATATAACAAACTACTCCTAGGCTCTTTACTCCAAGAGCAACTTTGAAAAAAAGAGGTTAATTCCTTCTTGATAAAAATCAAATATTGTGGACCACAAAAAATCACTTAATGTGGACAGAAGAAAGTACTAAATACATTTAATTTTTAAAGTGTGTTAACAAATTCCTAAAAGTAGAGGTTCTTTGAACTCACACTTTACCTGCATAACTTTTAACAAGAATAAAAGATTGTTAACAAACTCTGATCCTTATGTGAGAGTAAGAACATCAATTAAACTTTAATGCTTGTAAGTTTGTGGCACCTATATGAATCATTTACTTCATTGCGTTTTCCCCACTAAAAGTTGCATTGATTTTGAGAAAGATTATACTAGTACTTTCAACTTTCCGTTTAATCTTAGATCTATATTATCCCCTCTTACAAACTCGTGCATATAGATATCTATGTAAGAAATGGCCCAGCCAAACAGTCCGATGCATCTTCAAAGACGTATGAAAAGAATTTATAGTATACGAAAATAAATTGTTATAGATTTTTCTTATTTTAGATTTGCGTTTATTTTTATCTTTTGGTTAAAAATAATGTCTCGAATCTTTCGGTCAATAAGGTACTCACTCCGGTCCACTTTAAGTGATTTTTTAACCTTTTTTTGTGATCCACAATATTTGATTTTTTCAAAATATCAAGAAGGAATTAACTTCTTCTTTCCAAAGTTACCAAAGTTGCCCTTGGAGTAAAGAGCCTAGGAGTAGTTTGTTATATTTCCAATGAGCAAACTAAGGTTAATATGATCAATTTTATTGTTAATTAATGCTAAAAGATATATTCCTTAATATGTGTGAAAAGAGGGAAGAGAATAATACATTAGTTAGAGGAATCTTATCTTTTAGTTGGACATAAGACCTTATCTATTAGTTTGAGTTAGTCTTCGTTTTTTAATTAGGAGACGGTCCTAATTGTTTTAAGAGCTTTGACTTGTTTAGACTTAGCTAATAGCCTAATACGACTGGTCCGCTACCTTACACCATAAGAGTCACTTTACTTTATTAATTATCTTCCTATTGCATATTACTTCAATAACACTTATTCGTTTCAGCTCTACTATTTAAATATTTATATTAAATTTTTACTATCATGTCATTCACCTGAAAGAGTAAATCTAAACAGCCGCATCGTTTAATTTAAGCACCTCAAACTCATCTCACCTCACTTCACCTTCCTCCTTTTTGGAGGGCTAACCAGTAGGGTACACAATATTTCTATTGGTTAACTTATCCATATCTACAAAAAAGGAAGCAAATGCTCAATTTGAGTGGGAAAGAAAGCACTTCCACGTGATGGTTGAGGCGACTAGCAGATACAGTTTTCAGCTGGCGAGGACTTCATAATAAGAAACCAAAAAACAAAAGTGTAATGTAAAAATAGCCACTCACAAAGTAAAATAGAACCTAATAACCAATTTCCTATATATTCTAATAGCTGTAATTGGATTTTGTCTTGCTTTCAGTACTTATATGTCATCCTAAAACTCATCATCCAGTGACAAATAATTAGGAACTTGTCCAGATCAAACTCCAAAGGAAAATAAAGAAAGATACATACTGGGGAAAGAAACACAACCGCTTTTCAAGCTACAATCGCTTCCAGATTATTATTGTTATTTCCATTAGTATTTGAGACAACATCAAGAAAACATGCTATT